CCCCCTGGGAGGGATTCAAGATGTCAACAAAATTTAATCTATATACACTACCTGAGGATGCTTTCATATTAATATGACTAATCACGACTTTGCTGTTCTTGTCAATAAGAAGATTTTTGCCTTTATATATAATCCTATGTAAAGCTTTGATCCCACAAAGTGGCCCCACCCTACCATGGGGTCATGATTTGTACAAACTTGAGTCTACACTACTTGAGAAGTTTTCATATTAATATGACTAATTATGGTCTTGTTGTTCTTAAAAAGAATTTTGAAGATTTTTTGCCCTTTATTTCTATGTAAAACTTTGATCCCTTATTATGGCCCCACCCTACCTCTGGGGATCATGATTTGAAAAAAAACTTGAATCTACACTATCTGAGGATTTTTCCTTATCAATATGACTAATAATGCCCTTGCTGTTCTTGAGAAGAAGATTTATGAAATTTTTTCCCTGCATATTTCTACGTAAAACTTTGGATCCCCCAATGTTGTCCCACCCTACCCCAGGGGTTCTTGATCTGTACAAACTTATATTTACATTATGTAAAGAACGTTACATATAAGTTTTAACGTTTTTGGCCCAGTGGTTCTGATACCAACAATTTTTCACCAATTCTTAATTATTTCTCCTTGAAAGAGGGTGTGGCCCTTCATTTGAACAAACTTGAATCCCCTTTACTCAAAGGATGCTTTATGGCAAGGTTGGTTGAAATTAGCCCTGTGGTTTTAGAGAAGAAATAAAAAATGTGAAAAAGTCTACAGACGGACAGACGGACGACAGACAAAATGTGATCAGAAAAGCTAAAGTGAGCCGAAAACTTATGTTAGATCACAAGTCCTAAAAAAAAGAGCTATAATATTTGAAAAGCAGTGTTTTTTCATGCATTTTCATGCATTGCTTTCAGAATAGTTCAAAGCTGAAAATGTATTCCATGTCACCATAGTATGACTTTTATCCACGTTGAAAAAAGAACTGCACATTTCAGAAAATAGTATGATAAATTTATATAAATAGCTAATCAAGGTGTTTTGAGTATCAAAATAAAGCTAAACTAGTATAGCTAATTCAACCACAATTTTAAGATGCAAGACCTTAATCAATCTTAAAATGTTTATATCAACATTCCTGATTCAAGGGAGATCTAGACATATGACCAAAAGTCTATACCTGTTGACTAATAAACATGTACATGTTCATGTATGTTGTGAGAAGAGTAAATAATGATGACAAGTCAGAAGTGGGGTTAATATCCCCCCCCCCGTTTCCCCTTCCCATTCCCCACCCCAGTTTGTTCATGTACGCAAACCAGTACTTGGTTTTGACATTTTAAAAAAATGTGAATATACACAAATAGTTTAACAGTGCATCTCTCGATCTGAATAATTTTCATTCCTAATTGTAAAAGAGTGGGTTGATCCAAAATCATGAAAAAAGTTCACGGTAGCTCAGTCGGTAGAGCGCTCGCTCCGTGATCGGGAGATCGTGAGTTAGAATCTCGGCCGCGACTGACCCAAGTCGATAAAACATATGTAATCAGAGATTACAGAGCTCACCTCAACGAATGTTGTCTTTAAGTAAGGCAAATGCCCACACTAAACTAACAATCTAGGGGTGTGCATCTCTAGATCCAACATTTAGGCAATTTTGGTCTGATAGGACTTGCAGTTACTTGGGAATAGACTTATCTGAAAGCTTAAAACTAGTCACTCGTTCAAAAAATGTAAGTTAAATCCAGCATCCGAAGCAAGTTTGAGATTGTTCGTCCCTTGATGCATCATCCATGCAAGTTTGGTTCAGATAGGCCTTATAGTTACTTGGAAATGAGATCTGCTCCAAAAACTTTAACCTGGTCACTCATCCGGAAAATGTAAGTCAAATCCAGCATCCGAAGCAAGTCCAGTAGTGTGCATCCTTAGATGTATCATCCATGCAATTTTAGTCAAGAGGGCTTATAGTTACTTGGAAATGACATCTGCTCCAAAAATTTTAACCTGGTCACTCATCCGGAAAATATAGGTCAGATCCAGCATCCGAAGCATGTCCAGTAGTGTGCACTCTTAGATATATCATCCATGCAAGTTTGGTCAATATAGGGCTTATAGTTACTTGGAAATGAGATCTACTCCAAAAACTTTAACCTAGTCACTCATCCGGAAAATGTAGGTCAGATCCAGCATCCGAAGCAAGTTCAGTAGTGTGCATCCTTAGATGTATCATCCATGCAAGTTTGGTCAATATAGGGCTTATAGTTGCTTGGAAATGAGACCTGCTCCAAAAACTTTAACCTGCTCCAAAAACTTTAACCTGCTCCAAAAACATTAACCAGGTCATTCTTTAGCTGAAATTGCAGCATCTGAAACCTTAACTTGTACAATAAAACACACTCGAAGCATCCTCCATGCATCTCTGACTAATATAGGCCATAGGAGTACTTGAAAAGAAAACTGCTCCAAAAACCTTAACCTGGGACGCCGACGCCGACACCGACACCGACTTCGTTGAGGTGAGCTAAAAATGGGTAGCAACTGTTTCTTCACCATGCGCAGTTTGAAGTGAAAGTTGCGGGTCCTTCGGATGAGACCTTAAAAACTGAGGCCCCGTGTCAAGGTAGGCGTTGGCATGATAAAGATCCCTCACTGCTCAATGGCCCTGAGTGCCGAGTAAAGGTCAAAATTTGAAACCCTTCACCGGTATATGGTGATGTCTCTATGAGTGAAAAATTCTCGAATGGGACGTAATACAACATACAATCAATCAATCAATCAAATTTATGAATGAAATGTCAAGCAAACTTATTATTGATGCACTTTTGAATACCATTAGAGACATAATAACACAAGAAACAAAATTATGTATAGTCAAATGGAAAAGTTTGTTAACCATTTTTAAGTTACATGATCTTTTGTCATTTCAGGGACAGGGAATGGGCGGGGAAACTGGGGGAGAGTGTTCCATTTAATCTGTCATAATACAAAGACGGCTTTGAGGTTTCCAAATTTATTTATAGCTATCTGATTCAGATTGTTTTAGTATCAAGGAAAGGGAATGCAGACCCCCCCAGGGAAGACTTTCACATTTACTAAAGTTATTTCCCTTTGCGAGTCAATCTGGGGTCAGTCTGCGTAAGGCTACACCGTTACAAAATCTTAGAAATGAAATTTATATGAATATGTTTGTAATGTTTTTTCATGTTGCCCCATAGGAAATAAATGAAAGGATCAAAATTGCCCGATAGGTTTGAAGTTTGGAAATATTTACAGGCTAACTTACAAAGGACTAAAGTGAGAAAAATAAGCGTTACGTCGACAAGGGGAGACAACTCTTCAGAATGTGAAATTCCTCTATTATGGCATCCGATGATCTTTGATCTTTTTAAATTATAACCTAACCATTTGCATTTCAGATTATTTTATCCCAATCTATACCTAAACTTGTACTTACAGACCGTCATAGGTTCTGTCAACTTAATGAAATATAATCCAATTAATAAAACACACAATGAATTAATTCCCCCCCCCCCCCCCCTTAAAATTGTCAAAGTTAGCATAAATAATAGTTTCATCGAGAAAATGCAAAAATGTCTTCTCGGTAGACTTCATTTATACCCTACAAAATCTCTAGAACCCAGAAGCTTCTTGGGGCTTCGCTCCCTGGGCCCCTACCAGGGCTTCGCCCTGGACCCACTGGAAGCCTCAGGGCGGTCCCCAGACCCCCAGCCTACTTTATGCGCCCCCTTAACTTCAATTCTACTTTTGGAGAATCAAGTCAGTACATGTATGTATAATTTTCATATAATACGAGTCTTAGAATCATCAAACTTTGTTGTTTGACCTATATTGGGTCTTCAGATTGTGCTACAAAAAAAGTAAGTAACTGTAATAATTATTTTCAATATTTTTTGGTCATATCTTAATATTTCAAATAATAAAAGGCTTAGAATCATCAGAATTTGGCAGTTGACACACCTTTGGTCTTCAAAGCTTGTTAACCAAAACAATGAACTTTTAATATAACCATGATATACTAAATGTTGGTCATTGTGCCCATTTCTTTGGTTGATACACTTCACGGCCTTCGCATTTATCAACTGACAATAATGGATTGTCCTAGCTTTCACATTGTCAAAAATACGAAATTTATACAAAATGAAAGCGAATGTCAGGAAATTCAAGAAGAAAGTCAGACTGCCTGACATTTTCAAAAAAAAGTTTCAAGGTCCCATGATGCACCAACTTAGAAGGGTTGATGACTCTAAACCTCTCAGTATCAGAAATAATAAACTAGATCGTTTTAAAATGATTAGCCATAAAGTTAACACAGTAGGTAACGGTGACATAACTTTTGGTTGACACTCTTTATCGCCCCCATGATGCATATACTGACAAGTTTTGATGATCATAGTCTTGTATAAGGTATGTATAAAATCAATTTGAAAATAAATACCTTCTCAATTAAAAAATTACATCACCATGACTTACGTTTGAGTCAGAATGACACGAGTACATATGATGCATCAACTTACAAGATTTGATTATCCTAGTCATAATATGGCCAAAATATTAAAGTTTTCACAAAATATTAATTTAGGTCACATTTTAAGTTACCTTGAGGCCGTGACTTTATCAGGGTGATATCTTGTACAAATATTTATCTACAACACCTCTTCACCCTGTGTAAGTTCGGTGATATTCTGCCCAGTGGTTCTTGAAAGAATATGTTTGCATCAACTTTTATTTTCCTAATTATCTTCCTTTGTTAAAGGGTTATATCCAAATTTTAGGTACAAATGAAAGTCCTTTGGCCAAGGATACTCTGTAACAAATTTGACAAATAGGGATTCTACAGATATAGCCACTATTCAAAGAAGTTTAATGTGATGAGCAATTTGGTCCATTTTCAAAGCTTTCTTAAAGTAAAATTTCTCTAGGTCCTTCCCTTTAAAGTATTCATAAGCATTTTTGTTTCAAAGAGAGTTATCTATGAATATAACTCCAAATAAGATAATTTTTTTCTGAACAATAAGAACTTTATTTTGTATTGTATAATGAGTAATCAAGTCAATATTCACAGCTTTACGAAAAATAACAACAATTTGGTGACTAGTTCTTCCCCATGCGGTATTTAGAGGCAATTACGGATTGTTTTAGCTTGAACTCCTGATGCTCTTGTCTGTGAATGAACAGCAATGCCGATTGCAAGCAGCATCTTATCCTGGTCGCATGAAATGTCCCCATATTTTGGTCAGGTTCTTTGGTAATCCAAGCCGAAATCAAACTGCAAAAGATGATTTAAAAAAAAACTGAAAAAAGATATATCAAACATTCCGATAAAAATGACTCAATTTAACAACTGTGATTTCCCCCATTAAATGATGAATTAAAATCATATTTCAATGAACATCTTTGATGTATGTACAGTTGATCTGCATGACAAAAACGTATTATCTTGAAAACTGTTGCAGAAGTTATCAGAAAATGCAATTTTTTGCATAAAAATGAGTTCTTAAAAAGTTTACCAACTAAATTTAAAAAATGCGATTTCTTTTTTAAATGATGAAAAACCAAAATCCAAGTTCCATGTTCATCTCTATTGTATAGTGATTTCAATTTAAAAAAAAATAAAAACTTAAATCCCCTTTAATGGAAAACTCTTCAAAGAGAAAAACCGAAGGAGAAATTACCCTAAATGCAATATTATGCATCAAATTGACAACGTTCAACAGCTTGTATTTTTCTAAATGACCAAAAACCCAAATCAAGGTGCAATAAAAATCACTGACGTACACATAATTATTTGAAAAAATAAGTTCCCAATTTCATAAAATATGAAAGCTATCTAAACAAATGATGAAACTTACAAGCAATATTTGAATTAGAAATGAATAAGATCAATTGGTACCTTTCAAATAGACAGTCAAAATCAAGCATCATGCTTCTCTCTGATGTATATCATATACTGAATCTGCAATATTAAAAAAAATATCATAAAACTGTTGAAGCAGTTATCTAGAACAATAGGCCCAAGGGCCTTGAAATGCGCTTGTGATAAATTGTACAACCTATCACTTCTATTCGAAGCCTCTAAGTATCCTATATATTTAGATAAAGCCCTTAAATTCAAAAAGTAGGTCATTTTATATAAAACACTCTGAGAACCCAAGATGATTCTAAGTCAATTAGCACCTGATATAGGTCATGGTGACCTATTTATCATTTGTCATTTTCTGAGGACCCAAGATGCAGCAACTATCTAAAATTGATGATTCTAAGCCAAACTGTACCTGAAATATTTATATAAAGCCATAAAATTTCAAAAGTAGGTCAAAATGACATACTTTTCAGTTGACATACTCTGAGGACTCAAGATGCAACAACTGACAAAGTTTGATGATTCTAAGCCAATTGATACCTAAAAATATTTAATTATAACCATAAATTTCAACAGTACGTCACAGTGACCTACTTTTCAGTTGACATACTTTGAGGACCCAAGATGCATCAACTGACAAAGTTTTTTGATTCTAAGCCCATTGATACCTAACAATATTTAATCAAGTCACAGTGACCTACTTCTTAGTCGACGTACTCCTAACATCCAAGATACATTAACCAACAATTTTTGATGACTCTAAGTAAGTAAGTACACGAAATTATTCAAATATAGCCTTAAAATTCCAAGAGTAGGTCTGAGTGATCTACATATTCGACATACTCCAAGGACAAAAGATGCACCCACTTACAAAATTTGATAATTCTAAATCAATTACTACCTGACATATTTAAATAAAGCCATAAAATTTCAAAAATAGGTCACAGCGACCTACTTTTTAGTTGACTAACTCTGCGGACCGATGATGCATCAACTGACAAAGTTTGATGATTCAAAACCAAATAGTACCTGCAATTTAAATAAAGCCATACAATTTCAAAAGTAGATCACGGTGACCTTTTTTTCAGTTAACTTACTCCAAAGACCCAAGATGCATCAACTGAAAAAGTTTGATAATTCCAAACCAAATAGTACTCAAAATATTTAAATATAACAAAAAAATTTCTAAAGTAGGTCATGGTGACCTACTTTTCAGTTGACGTTTTTCGAGGACCAAAGATGAATCAACTTACAAAGTTTTATGATCATAGGCCTTGAAATGTCCAAAATATGCCTCTAAAACGCTTTGAAATTGAATGCCTGCAAAGTTCAAAAAGTAGGTCAAGGTGACCTACTTTTTCATAAATTTGTTTCATGGCGCCAAGCTGCATCATCTTACAAGATTAAGTGATTTTAAACCTCTCAGCATTCGAATTAATGAAATTCAATGTTTTTAAAAGATTACCCATAAAATTCAAAAAGTAGGTCAAGGTGACCTTCTTTTAGTTGACGTACTCCGATGACCCAAGATGCAACAACTTATAAAGATTAATCATCGTAGACCTTGCAGTAAGCAAAATATTAACATTTTAATAAAATGTAATTTTTGGTCAACTTTGAAGTGACCATGAGACCACGCCTTTGCCCCAGGGCGATTCCCCTTGCAAATTTTAATCTACAGCATACCCTAAACCTAATGTGTAAGTTTGGTGATAATCTGCCCAGTGGTTTTTTGAGAAGATTTTTAGCAACCAGTACTTTTGGTTTTATTAACCAAATTATCTCTCTTTGTTTAAGGGTCACAACCCTAGAATTAATAAAACCGGGAGTCTTTCGGTCATGGATACCTGTGACAAATTTGACAATAATTGGCAAAGGGGTTCTTGAGTTATGGCCCATATTCTAGAAAGTTTACGCACACCGCACAAATGGATATAGCATTAGCTCTTTGAGCCTTTGGCTCAGAAGTACAAATGTAAGCAATATAACACATCAAATGGATATATTTATCAACAGGTATTTTCTTATGATATCAATGATCAAAAATCAAAATCCAAGTACAATGTTCATATCTTATGTAAGCTCATTTGACTTTAATGTATGTTCATTAGACTTTAACAATAAAAACATATTATCCCTTTCATAGATTTCTTTTAGCAGTAAACAGAAAAAGGACAAATCTGCAGAAATGTTGTACCCTAAAAGTAATATTTTGCATCAAGTTGACTATGTTCAACAGCTTGTATCTTTTTCACAAATGACCAAAAATCAAACCAAGGTGCCATGCACATGTATCATGTAAAAATATTTGGGAAAATAAGTTCTTAGATTAAGAAGTGTTGGGCTGTCAGAACAAAAATATTGAACCCTATATACAAGAGGTGGCATAAAAATCAAGAATACCAACAACTCGTATTTTTGTCATAGAAGATTAAAAGCTATATCCAAACACTTTTCTTCCAAATGTACAACTGCTTTGCACAATAAAAAATTCCTATTTTTCTCTCCTAAATAATCAAAAATCTAGAATATAGGTACCATGTTAATTTATGACGGATAGATAATTGATCAACAATTGTAGGAGTACTCTGGAAAAAAGAATGTATATGTACAAGCAGGATGTACCCAAACCAATGTTGTATTCTCTTTTATTTTTCACAAAAATGACTGAAGTTCAATAATTGCTATCTGAACCATAATGATTAGAAGTCTAAATCCAAGTACTAAGCAAATACTAAATGTACGAACAAATTGATCTCCAAACCAAAACATCTTATTATGAAAACTATTGAGAAGTTATCCGAGTAAACAATGAACCCAGTATGCAATATTTTGCATCAAAATGACTGATTTTAAAAATCGGTACCTTTACAGATGATCAAAAATCGAAGTTGAAGCGTCATATTAATATCTGATGTATGTTTTTTTTTATTTTTAAAAAAAAATGATATCTTTAAAACTGTTGAAGGAGTTATTTAGAAAAATCATGTACACTTGTATGCAAAAAATAAAAAAAAAAAAAAAAAAAAAAAAAAAAAAAAATTAAATAAATAATTAAAAAAAAAAAAAAATTAAATGGTCAAATTTATCAACTGGTAGTTTTTTGTCAATGACCAAAATCAAAATCAAAGTACCATGTTCATCTCTATTGTATGTTCCTTAGACTTGAACAATTAGAAACCTATATTCCCTTTCATGGGATTTCTTTTAGCAGAAAATTGAAGGAGAAATTATCTGCAGAATTGTTGGACCCTAGAAATAATATTTTGCATCAATTTGACATGTTCAACAGTTTGTATCTTTTACATATGTGACCTAAAACCAAACCAAGGTGCCATGGGGGGATGTGCATATCACTGATATAAAAACATTCAGGAAAAAGTTCTTAGGTTTAGATATGTAGGAGCTATCTAGACAAACAGGAGGCCCAAGGGCCTTGAATCGCTCTACTAATAAACTGTACAACCTACGGTATCACTTCTATTTGATAATTCAAATCCGTATAGTACACCAAAAATATTAAATACAGCCATAAAATTTCAAAAGTAGGTCAGGGTGACCTACTTTTCAGTTGTCGTACTCCAAGGACCCAATATGCATCAACTGACAAAGTTTGATGATTCTAAGCAAATTGGTTTCTGAAATATATTATTAAAGCCATAAATTTTCAAAAGTAGGTAATGGTGACCTACTTTTCAGTCGACTTACTCGAAGACCCAAGATGCATCAACTGACAAAGTTTGATGATTCTAAGTCAATTAGTACCCGAAATATTTAATTAAAGCCATAAATTTTCAAAAGTAGGTCATGGTGACCTACTTTTCAGTTGACCTACTCCAAAGATCTAAGATGCATCAACTGACAAAGTTTGATGATTCTAAGCCAATTAGTACCTGAAATATTTAATTATAGTCATATAAATTGAAATGTAGATCACGGTGACCTACTTTTCAGTCGACCTACTGCGATGACCCAAGATACATCAACTTACAAAGTTTTATGATCATAGGCGTAAAAATGTCCAAATTATGCCTCTAAACCGCTTTGAAATCGCATACCTGCAAAGTTCAAAAAGTAGGTCACTGTGACCTACGTTTTAATACATATGTTTTATGGCCCCAAGATGCATCATCTTGCAAGATTTCATGATTCTGAACCTCTCAGTGATCAAATTATTGACCTGAATTGTTCTGTAAAAGATTAGCCATCAATTTCAAAAAGTAGGTCAAGGTGACCTACTTTTTAGTTGACGTACTTCGATGAACCAATATACATCAACTGACAGTTTGATGATCATAGGCCTTAAATTGTTCAAAATATGTCTCTAAATCATTTTGATAAAGAATGGCCGCAAAATTTAAAAAGTAGGCAACTGTGACTTACTTTTAAGTCAACATGAAATGAGGTCCTTAGATGCATCAACTGACAAGATTTGATGATCCTAGTCCTTATAGTAAGCAAAAATATCAACATTTTAATAAAATGTAATTTTTGGTCAACTTTGAAGTGACCTTGAGACCACGCCCTTTGCCCCAGGGTGATGCCTTGAACAACTTTTAATCTAAAACATATCCTCATCCTTTTGTGTAAGTTTGGTGAAAATCTGCCCAGTGGTTCTTGAGAAGAAGATTTCTTAGCAACCAGTATTTTTGTTTCTATTTTCCTAATTATCTCCCCTTGCTTAAGGGTCACAACCCTAGTTTTAGTATAATAGGGAGCCCTTGGGCCAAGGATACCCTGTGACAAATTGCACAATAATTGGCCAAGGGGTTCTTGAGTTATGGCCCATATTCTAAAAAGTTTACGCACACCGAACAAATGGCTATAGCATTAACTCTTTGAGCCTTTGGCTAAGAAGAGCTAATAAAGAGAACCCTGTATGCAATAGTTGGCATAAAAAATAGAATACCAACAACTAATATTCTTGTCATAAATGATCCAAAACAAAGTCCAAACACTCATCAACTCTCTTCCAAATGTACAACTGATTTGCACAATAGAAAAATCCTATCCCAAAAACTGTAGGATGCAATACCCTATAAGAAATATTTTGCACAAACATCTGGTATTTTCCCAGTCACTAATCAAAAATCAAAATCAATGTACTAAATATAGGATCTCCCATGATTTGTAGTTGGATATGACTTTTATCCAACGAGTTGTGTGTTTTTTATCCCAGAGCCTTGGCGAGGGGATAAAAACACACAACGAGTTGGATAAAAGTCATATCCAACTACAAATCATGGGAGATTCTTTTTATCCCATGTTTAATACTTCACAACCAATTTTTTTACACTGTTATATATAGGACTCCACTTTATTTTACTTCATCACTCTAACGCAAAAACCATTGTGACGTCACAACTGCACTTAACTGTGGGTTATGAAAAAAATATCCAATGAGTCATATCTACGGGATAAACATGGGATAAACATATCTCTTATATAAATATGTACAACTTCTCTGCACAACAAACTCCTTACTTTCAAAACTGTTGATGGGATTATCCAGACATATGATATGCCAAAATAAGCAATATTTGGCACCGAAACTGATGAAGTTCAACAACCGTTCATTTCCCAAAAATGATCTAAATTCAAAATCAGAGCACCATGCACATCTTTAATGAAAGTTTATAACCTCATCTGCAAAACAAACATCTTCTGATTTTGAAAACTGTTAGAGTGCTTATCCTAAAAAAACGATGTAAAAGCTACATTATACATACAAATGACTAAGTTCAACAACTGCTATTTTCCCTATAAATGATCTGAAATCAAAACTCAACTATCTTGTACATCATTAGTGTATGTACAATTGATCTGTATAAAAATACCTCTTATCCTTAACACTATAAGAGAAGAGAACTGGATAAATGATGAGCACTGTAATCAATATTTTGCATAAAATTCACCCAGTTCATCTGCTAATATCCCTCTCCTAAATGATCAAAACTCAAAATTTAGGTACCAAGTTCACTTTTCAGGGGATAGATAATTGATCCCCAATTGTAGGAGTACTCTGGAAAAATGAGCATGTTCAACCACTGCTATTTTCCCCCATCACACATTAAAATTCAAAATTAAAGTAACCAGTAGATCCTTAATACATGTAATGTACAAATTACCTGCAAAATATTAATTTCTTATTTTCAACAATTTAGCAAGATGTATCCAATCAAATGTTGTACTCTCTTATACTCTGTAGCACAAAAATGACTGAAGTTCAATAACTGCTATTTGAAGCATAAATGATCAGTAGTCTAAATCCAAGTACTACGCAAATACTTAATGTATGTACTTTTGATCTGCAAACCAAAAACTTCTTATTGTAAAAACTGGTGCAGAAGTCATCCGAACAAATTTTGAACCCCGTATGCAATATTTTGCAGAAAAATGAGGTGACTAATTTTAACAACTGGTACCTTTATAGATGATCAAAAATCAAAGTCGAAGCATCATATTCATTTCCGATGTACGTTTCTTTGATCTGCAAAATAAAAATAAATGATATCTTTAAAACTGTTGAAGGAGTTGTCTAGAAAAATCATGTACACTTGTAAGCAATATAACACAGTAAATGGCTAAATTTATCACATGGTATTTTCTTATCAATGACCAAAAATCAAACTCCAAGCATATTGGCATCTCTGCTGTATGTAAATTAGACTTGATCAATTAGAAACCCATTATCCCTTTCATGGGATTTCTTTTAGCAGAAAACTGAAGAAGGTATTGTCTACAGAACTGTTGTACCCTTAAAGTAATATTTTGCATCAAATTGACATGTTAACAGTTTGTATCTTTTTCATAAATGACCAAAAATCAAACCAAGGTGCCATGAATATCAATGATGTAAAAACATTCAGGAAAAAAGTCCTTAGGTTTAGATATGTAGGAGCTTTCTGGACAAATAAAATGAACCCTTTATGCAAGAGTTGACATAAAAATCAAAAATACCAACAACTAGTATATTTGGGTACAGCCCACTAATTGTTTTCCCATAGGTGGCAATGTTAATGTTTATTCACATAGCAATGTCCCTAATTTTTGTTCAGCATTGAGTGACCCCTCAAATCAAAGCACATCAAGTTGTCTTTCCTTGGTTAAAATCTCGAGGTGGCATGTCAGATTCGTTTTGCGGCAAAATGCGTCTGTCTGCGTTAACCTCTGAAAATGAAAGTGAAAGTAGGGGATTTCAAGACTTCTCACTGGTGTTACAATACATAAAATAATTCTGCTGATCTTGATAAATTACATCTGCCAAGCTTTTTTGCAAGGGAACATACTCCTTATCAACAAGTATGAGGCTCAGTTTAATACCTTATCACAGTTTTTTTTATTCAGGTCTGCAAATTAAAGAACTTGTAATTTTTTCTGCACTTCTTTCTTCTCCTACCGATTCTAAAAATAATTAGAGGTATGTATCCAATATGAAAAAGTATTTTCTGGATTTTACAACATTTAACATCATAAGTCATACTACAGACTATGTAGTGACATTATGCCAAATTTCAGGAAAATTCAATCATTAATAAAGATTTTACAGCATGCACAGTTCTATATGCAAAATTCTTTTAAAATGCTTCCATCTAGCCACAACTGCACCCAAATTTTAAGTCATCAGTTAGCCTATTAATGTACTTATACCATTTTTATTCTCTTTCATAACTTTAAATACATCAAGCAAAATCATGATCAAGCACTCATATGGGTCCATTTCTCTTATTTCAAAAAATCAATGCATTTTTGCACAAAATTTTATCATCCCTCACCATTGAATTCATTGTTTCTCCATGATTGACAAAAAAATTAAGTTTACAAATACCCCGAAAGTAGTAAAAATAGGAAGTACTGATTATTTCCTGTCCATTGATGTATCATTCAGGAAAATTGGTGTAGGAATAAAGAATTTATAAGCCTTTATATTCTTGTGTACATTCATCTGTTTCAAAGCAATTTTTACACCAATGCAAGTTCACTCATCTATGACGTCATAATGACATCATAATAATGGATTGCTTATTACACATGTAGTGTTACTTTTTCCGTGCTTTTAATAAAAGTTGAAATTAGAACTAAAATATTCATTATAACTATAAAATAATAAAAATACTTGCATGAGCAGATCAAATAAATAGTCAACAGAAAATGTTTTGTTTCCATGGTAATCAATTTGTAATTTGTAGGAAAATGAAAGAGAACTTTGAAAATTTTGAATTTCCTTACAAGTCGCTCATTCTGACTGACAAATATTTTAGGAATGACTCTAATTCTTGGCCAAATTATTCGAGTATAACCTGGTTTGGGTCAGTTTATGCTTTATAATCCGCTAAGCGGATTATAAAACAGGTTTGGGTCAGTTTACGCTTTATAATCCGCTAAGCGGATTATAAAACAGCGTAAACTGACCCAAACCAGCTTATACTCGAATAATTTGGCCAAGAATTAGAGTCATTCCTTATAATTTAATTTTAAAATCATTAAATAACTATGGGTGTAAAATTTCGTTACTTTTTATTAGTTCAAATTTGCCGCTCAATAATACAACCATAGTAATGGAAGTAACGGAAGTGATGGGAATTGAGGGGAGGAAAAAATTGATACATAGGCCTAGCAGCCATGTTGTTTGGTTACATGTGGTAAGATCAAATTATTGTTTGAAATTAAAGGTACATTTATTAAATCTGGAATTTTCCATGAATCCCGAGGACTGGGTATGAGAGGATTGTATGGATACAGATGATTCAGCTGGTTGTCAAGGGGGTGTGTCCCCATACCAAACCAGGTTATACAGAAATAATTTGTGTTCCTTTTTGGATATTAACCAATCAGAGGCTAGAATACAAACAAAATTAAATTATTAAAGAAATTTCAACTCTTATATATTTTTTAGTCTTAATATTTTATCATACACAACACTTTGAATGTAATTGTTTTGAAATTCTCTTTAAAATATATTACCTGTAAAATATATAGCATACATGTACAGATTAGTTTGATGGTCACTTTCGTAGCTCAAATATTCATTTAAAATCTACATTTACTAAGCTTTAATACCCCCCCCCCCCCCCCCACACACACACACACACATACACACACAAAGAAGCTTTAGAAAATTCAACTTACATATTAAAAGTACTGCCATCATTTTACATGTGAAAACTCAAGATGTGTTCAAATGAGTTTGTTTTTCCTGACTGATAGTTTTAAACACCATCTGCATGAACCTCGAAGTTGTCCTGTATCACCATGAACCTAAAAAAAAAAATCAATTTAAAAAATGGTGCAATAATTAATCAGCATCAAAAAGCACCTTAAATATTCACAGACAGACATCAAACACACACAATCCTACAACATTCCCTTATGCCCTTAATTTGATATCAATTGAAAATTATGAATTGGCACTGATTAGTAACAGCATTGTTAAATTACATGTAAATTAATAATACAGGTAAAAAGCATGTAACTGACAATAATTATACATTAGACAAATACATGTAATCCAGTTAATAAAATATATATTAAAAAAAAAATGTTAATGTGCATGTTCATGCACACACTGCTTAACTTCTACACAACTGTAGCCTGACCGACTTCTTTGAAAGAATGCACATGTATGTCCTCGTTCATCTATTTCTATTCCATGAAAATAAAAGTTTTCATTTACAAACATTGTAATAAGGCATTGAAACCTCTTTTTTCTTTACCTCTTTCATAAAATGACAAATGCATATCACCTACATACTGCAAGACTCTGCATTAGGTAGCACTAAGCAGTTTTGATAACTTACTGTTATTCTACTTTCACTTTGACCTTGAAGTTCACTAAATACCGATTCCGACCTCATTTCTGAATTTTTGTGTATTGATGATAAACAATAGTGGTGGATTTACTTCTAAAATAATTGTTCCTTTTCTAAATTTCTATTCATGGCTCTGATTTACTAAATTGTATAAAATTGATACATTTAATTTACATGCTACATGTGTACACAATGGGAGATATGAGCATAAGCTGCATGTTCCTAAAGGGGGGGGGGGGGGGGGGGGGGAGGGAGTGGGTATTAACAAATCGATTTGTTTCAAAATATGTATAAACAAATTAAAATTTGCTTCTTTCATAAATATAAACAATTGGAAGTGATAGTAAACAAAACAAAGTAAAGATCTATGAGAATTTTCTCTTACCAATAGGCTTCACATATTGGGTACAGCCCACTAATTGTTTTCCCATAGGTGGCAATGTTAATGCTTATTCACATAGCAATGTCCCTAATTTTCGTTCAGCATTGAGTGACCCCTCAAATCAAAGCACATCAAGTTGTCTTTCCTTGGTTAAAATCTCGAGGTGGCATGTCAGATTTGTTTTCCGGCAAAATGCGTCTGTCTGCGTTAACCTCTGAAAATGAAAGGGGATTTCAAGACTTCTCACTGGTGTTATAATACACAAAAATAATTCTGCTGATCTTCTTGATAAATTACATCTGCCAAGCTTTTTTGCAAGGGAACATACTCCTTATCAACAAGTATGAGGCTCAGTTTAATACCTTATCACAGTTTTTTTTATTCAGGTCTGCAAATTAAAGAACTTGTAATTTTTTCTGCACTACTTTCTTCTCCTACCGATTCTAAAAATAATTAGAGGTATGTACCCATTTGTCATAAGTGATCCAAAACAAAGTCCAAACACTCATCAACTCTCTTCCAAATGTACAACTGATTTGCACATTAAAAAAATCCTATCCCAAAAACTGTAGGATGCAATACCCTATAAGAAATATTTTGCACAAACATCTGGTATTTTCCCAGTCACTAATCAAAAATCAATATCAATGTACTAAACATATCTCTTACATAAACATGTACAACTTCTCTGCACAACAAACTCCGTACTTTCAAAACTGTTGATGGGATTATCCAGACATATGATATGCCAAAATAAGCAATATTTGGCACCGAAACTGATGAAGTTCAACAACCGTTCATTTCCCAAAAATGATCTAAATTCAAAATCAGAGCACCATGCATACTTTAATGAAAGTTTATAACCTCATCTGCAAAACAAACATCTTCTGATTTTGAAAACTGTTAGAGTGCTTATCCTGAAAAAAGATGTAAAAGCTACATTATACATACAAATGACTAAGTTCAACAACTGCTATTTTCCCTATAGATGATCTGAAATCAAAACTCAACTATCTTGTACATCATTAGTGTATGTACTATTGATCTGTAAAAAAAAAAAAACCCTTATCCTGAACACAAAAAGAGAAGAGAACTGGATAAATGATGAGCACTGTAATCAATATTTTGCATAAAATTCACCCAGTTCATCTGCTAATATCCCTCTCCTAAATGATCAAAACTCAAAATTTAGATACCAAGTTCATTTTTCAGGGATAGATAATTGATCCCCAATTGTAAGAGTACTCTGGAAAAATGAACATGTTCAACCACTGCTATTTTCCCCCATCACACATTAAAATTCAAAATTAAAGTATTCAGTACATCCTTAATACATGTAATGTACAAATTACCTGCAAAATATTAATTTCTTATTTTCAACAATTTAGCAAGATGTATCCAAACAAATGTTGTACTCTCTTATATTCTGCTGCACAAAAATGACTGAAGTTCAATAACTGCTAATTGAACCATAAATGATCAGTAGTCTAAATCCAAGTACTGCGCAAATACTTAATGTTTGTACTTTTGATCTGCAAACCAAAAACTTCTTATTGTAAAAACTGGTGCAGAAGTTATCCGAGCAAATGATAAACCCAGTATGCAATATTTTGCATAAAAATGACGTGACTAATTTTAACAACTGGTACCTTTATAGATGATCAAAAATCAAAGTCGAAGCATCATATTCATTTCCGATGTACGTTTCTTTGATCTGCAAAATAAAAATAAATGATATCTTTAAAACTGTTGAAGGAGTTGTCTGGAAAAATCATGTACACTTGTAAGCAATATAACACATTCAATGGCTAAATTTATCAACTGGTATTTTCCTATCAATGACCAAAAATCAAACTCCAGGTATATTGGCATCTCTATTGTATGTTCATTAGACTTGATCAATTAGAAACCTATATCCCCTTTCATGGATTTCTTTTAGCAGAAAACTGAAGAAGGTATTGTCTGCAGAAATGTTGTACCCTTAAAGTAATATTTTACATCAAACTGACATGTTCAACAGTTTGTATCTTTTTCATAAATGACCAAAAACCACACCAAGGTGCCATGAATATCAATGATGTAAAAACATTCAGGAAGAAAGTCCTTAGGTTTAGATATGTAGGAGCTTCCTGGACAAATAAAATGAACCCTTTATGCAAGAGTTGACATAAAAATCAAGAATACCAACAACTAGTATATTTGTCATAAATGATCCAAAACAAAGTCCAAACACTTATCAACTCTCTTCCAAATGTACAACTGATTTGCACAATAGAAAAATCCTATCCCAAAAACTGAAGGATGCAATACCCTATAAGAAATATTCTGCACAAACATCTGGTATTTTCCCAGTCACTAATCAAAAATCAAAATCAATGTACTAAACATATCTCTTATATAAATATGTACAATTTCTCTGCACAACAAACTCCTTACTTTGAAAACTGTTGATGGGATTATCCAGACATATGATATGCCAAAATAAGCAATATTTGGCACCGAAACTGATGAAGTTCAACAACTGTTCATTTCCCAAAAATGATCTAAATTCAAAATCAGAGCACCATGCACATATTTAATGAAAGTTAATAACCTCATCTACAAAACAAAAAACATCTTCTGATTTTGAAAACTGTTAGAGTGCTTATCCTGAAAAACGATGTAAAAGCTACATTATACATACAAAGGATTAAGTTCAACAACTGCTATTTTCCCTATAAATGATCTGAAATCAAAACTCAACTATCTTGTACATCATTAGTGTATGTACTATTGATCTGTAAAAAAAAACCCCCTCTTATCCTGAACACAGTAAGAGAAGAGAACTGGATAAATGATGAGCACTGTAATCAATACTTTGCATAAAATTCACCCAGTTCATCTGCTAATATCCCTCTCCTAAATAATCAAAACTCAAAATTTAGGTACCAAGTTCGTTTTTCAGGGATAAATAATTGATCCCCAATTGTAGGAGTACTCTGGAAAAATGAACATGTTCAACCACTGCTATTTTACCCCATCACACATCAAAATTCAAAATTAAAGTACTCAGTACATCCTTAATACATGTAATGTACAAATTACCTGCAAAATATTAATTTCTTATTTTCAACAATTTAGCAAGATGTATCCAAACAAATGTTGTACTCTCTTATATTCTGCAGCACAAAAATGACTGAAGTTCAATAACTGCTAATTGAACCATAAATGATCAGTAGTCTAAATCCAAGTACTACGCAAATACTTAATGTATGTACTTTTGATCTGCAAACCAAAAACTTCTTATTGTAAAAACTGGTGCAGAAGTTATCCGAACAAATGTTGAACCCCGTATGCAATATTTTGCATAAAAATGATGTGACTAATTTTAACAACTGGTACCTTTATAGATGATCAAAAATCAAAGTCGAAGCATCATATTCATTTCCGATGTACGTTTCTTTGATCTGCAAAATAAAAATAAATGATATCTTTAAAACTGTTGAAGGAGTTGTCTGGAAAAATCATGTACACTTGTAAGCAATATAACACATTCAATGGCTAAATTTATCAACTGGTATTTTCCTATCAATGACCAAAAATCAAACTCCAGGTATATTGGCATCTCTATTGTATGTTCATTAGACTTGATCAATTAGAAACCTATATCCCCTTTCATGGATTTCTTTTAGCAGAAAACTGAAGAAGGTATTGTCTGCAGAAATGTTGTACCCTTAAAGTAATATTTTACATCAAACTGACATGTTCAACAGTTTGTATCTTTTTCATAAATGACCAAAAACCACACCAAGGTGCCATGAATATCAATGATGTAAAAACATTCAGGAAGAAAGTCCTTAGGTTTAGATATGTAGGAGCTTCCTGGACAAATAAAATGAACCCTTTATGCAAGAATTGACATAAAAATCAAGAATACCAACAACTAGTATATTTGTCATAAATGATCCAAAACAAAGTCCAAACACTTATCAACTCTCTTCCAAATGTACAACTGATTTGCACAATAGAAAAATCCTATCCCAAAAACTGTAGGATGCAATACCCTATAAGAAATATTCTGCACAAACATCTGGTATTTTCCCAGCCACTAATCAAAAATCAAAATCAATGTACTAAACATATCTCTTATATAAATATGTACAATTTCTCTGCACAACAAACTCCTTACTTTCAAAACTGTTGATGGGATTATCCAGACATATGATATGCCAAAATAAGCAATATTTGGCACCGAAACTGATGAAGTTCAACAACTGTTCATTTCCCAAAAATGATCTAAATTCAAAATCAGAGCAGAGCACCATGTACAAATTACCTGCAAAATATTAATTTCTTATTTTCAACAATTTAGCAAGATGTATCCAAACAAATGTTGTACTCTCTTATATTCTGCAGCACAAAAATGACTGAAGTTCAATAACTGCTAATTGAACCATAAATGATCAGTAGTCTAAATCCAAGTACTACGCAAATACTTAATGTATGTACTTTTGATCTGCAAACCAAAAACTTCTTATTGTAAAAACTGGTGCAGAAGTTATCCGAACAAATGTTGAACCCAGTATGCAATATTTTGCATAAAAATGATGTGACTAATTTTAACAACTGGTACCTTTATAGATGATCAAAAATCAAAGTCGAAGCATCATATTCATTTCCGATGTACGTTTCTTTGATCTGCAAAATAAAAATAAATGATATCTTTAAAACTGTTGAAGGAGTTGTCTGGAAAAATCATGTACACTTGTAAGCAATATAACACATTCAATGGCTAAATTTATCAACTGGTATTTTCCTATCAATGACCAAAAAACAAACTCCAGGTATATTGGCATCTCTATTGTATGTTCATTAGACTTGATCAATTAGAAACTTATATTCCCTTTGATGGGATTTCTTTTAGCAGAAAACCGAAGAAGGTATTGTCTGCAGAAATGTTGTACCCTTAAGGTAATATTTTGCATCAAATTGACATGTTCAACCAGTGATTGGGAAGGCCATCAAGTCAATGGGACTATGGCACAACTGTCAAAGTATTTAATGGGCCATTTTGAAAATGAATGGGCCATCTCTATATTCTAAGAACAAGAAGCCCAAGGGCCTTAACGGTCACCTGCGTATAATACAACAATTTAGAGGATCCCTAGAGTATAAAATGAACTGAAAGGTGAAACTTTGTTGCCCAAAAGCAAGAAAAATAGGGTGATCGGGATCAACAAAATAATTAGTTTAGTATTCATAAACAGTTCATAAATTAGGTTCAAATCTGTTCCCAATTTATCACTATCACCATACAGTATATTAACAAACTATCAGTACTACTGTACTACTTTAATTCCTTGTGGAGATCTCTTACATTGGCCTCTCTTGGTCTTTGATGAACATTTAATAAAACAAGTTATTTTTGTCCCATTTTTATTTATCTATTACTTACAAGTCTACTGATCATTTAAACTATAAAAGTACTTTTTGTATTATACAATAAAAAATCTTGCATAATTCTCTTATTCTATTAACCTTTCAAATACTTTATTTACAGTGATTAATCATCAAAAGTAAATGGCAAAGGAAAATAACTCCTCTCAGTAGAATACAAATTAAAAGAGCCCAGGCAAGGACCAGAACACTTGACCAAATAGTCCAGATGTTCAAAAATCTGGTAAAAATACCCTTGCTTATTAAAACTTTTACTCTTTTTGCCTCTGATATGCCCAGGTGCAGAGAAGATTTTTGAAGAAATAATGCATTTTTACTACAGATTCACTTAATTATCAATAGAGCCCCCCCCCACCCCCACCAAGAAATGCCAGAGCCCCTGACCATGGGACCAGAAGTTTGCTCATCATAAGTTATCACTTTCTTTATCTGCTTCACACTAAGGAGCAGACAGGATTATTTAATAGAATTAATGCATTTTCACTATATTATCAAGAGCCCCACCCTTAAACCAGCACATCTGACCCAGGGGTCATGCAATTCACTACTCTGGAAAAAGCACTCTTGCTCATCATAACTATACACTTAGCTTCTTTGCTTTTTAACCAGAAGCAGAAAAGAATATTTTAAAAGAAATTTTGCTTTTTCACTACATAATCAATAGAGCCCCCCCCCCCCTCTTTTCACCAGAACCCTTGACCCTGGGGCAATGAAATTCACAATTTTGGAAGAGGTATCCTTGCGTATCATAACAATGTACATAGTTTGTTTAAAAAATACCCAGGGGCAGAGAAGAAGATTTTAAAAGAAATAATTCACCTTTACTATAGGATCTATATAGCCCCGCCCTAGCACCAGAATCCCTGTCCCTGGGGCCTTGAATTTCACTATTTTGGAAGAGGCATCCTTGCTTATCATAACTATATACTTAGTTTGTTTAAATAATACCCAGGAGCAGAAAAAGAAGAATTAATGTATTTTCACTATATAATAAATAGAGCCCCGACCTAGCAACAGAACCCCTGACCCTGGGGCCATGAATTTCACAGTTTTGGTAGAATCACTCTTGCTTATCATAACTATGTATTTAATTTGTTTCAATAATACCCAGGAGTAGAGAAGAAGATTTTCAAAGAAATAATGCACTTTCACTATATGATCTATATAGCCTGGCCCTAGCAACAGAACCCCTGACCTTGGGGCCTTGAATTTCACAATTTTGGTAGAGTCACCCTTGCTTATCATAACTATGTATTCAATTTGTTTCAATAATACCCAGGAGTAGAGAAGAAGATTTTCAAAGAAATAATGCTTTTTCACTATATGATCTATATAGCCCAAACCCTAGCACCAGAACCCCTGACCCTGGGGCCTTGAATTTCATAATTTTGGTAGAATCACCCTTGCATATCATAACTATGTATTCAATTTGTCTCAATAATACCCAGGAGCAGAGAAGAAGATTTTCAAAGAAATAATCCACTTTCACATTATGATCTATATATCCCCACCCTAGCACTAGAACCCCTGACCCTGGGGCCATGAATTTCATAATTTTGGTAGTCACCCTTGCTTATCATGACTATGTATTCAATTTGTTTCAATAATACCCAGGAGTAGAGAAGAAGATTTTCAAAGAAATAATGCACTTTCACTATATGATCTATATATCCCCACCCTAGCACTAGAACCCCTGACCCTGGGGCCATGAATTTCAAAATTTTGGTAGAGTCACCCTTGCATATCATAACTATGTATTCAATTTGTTTCAATAATATCCAGGAGTAGAGAAGAAGATTTTCAAAGAAATAATGCACTTTCACTATATGATCTATATAGCCCCACCCTAGCACTAGAACCCCTGACCCTGGGGCCTTGAATTTCACAATTTTGGTAGAGTCACCCTTGCTTATCATAACTATGTATTCAATTTGTTTCAATAATACCCAGGAGTAGAGAAGAAGATTTTCAAAGAAATAATGCACTTTCACTATATGATATATATAGCCCCGCCCTAGCACCAGAACCCCTGACCCTGGGGCCATGAATTTCACAATTTTGGTAGAGGGCTTAATGCTTATTACAATCATGCCAACAGTTTGACTGCTTGATGTCCAGGAGTAAAGAAGAAGATTTTTAAAGATTGCATTAATTTTGGTGGTTTTAGCCCCACCCCTCAGGTTCCAGGGGGGCAGGGACCATGAAATTCATAATTTTTGTTCCCCTTTACCCATAGATGCTATATGCTAAAATTGGTTGAAATTGGTTGAGCGGTTTCAGAGAAGAAGCTGAAAATGTTCAAATGTCAACGCACGACGCACGATGGACGACGGACGACGCACGCCGACGGACAAAAACGGATAGCAATAGGTCACCTGAGTGACTCAGGTGACCTAAAAAAAACAAAATGACAAACGTCAAATACGAAAATGAACACGTTTCTTCCTTAACCAAATTTTACTTTTCAGGTATACTGTGTAGCACATTTAACATTGTTTAAAGGAACCCGCAAACAATATATTTTTCTTGTATTTTGGATCAATAACGTCGAAATTTCAATTGAACATTGGAAATGAGTGAGGTAATGTACTTTGTTGTCCTATATAAGCGCTTCATGTAACAGGAAGCAGTTTTTGCTGGGTTTTAACCAATGAGATTTGTTGTACAGTATTAAAATGACTGTATTTAAAACGGAAGTAAAACAAACCAGAAAGTCGTATGCGAAATATTTCCAACTAACATCGCTAAAATTTGAATGCGCACCTTGGCGCCACCAATGGTTTACTTAATGTGCAAATTTTCACTTCAATGTGACTATGGCACGTGGCGCAAGCCTTTCCCAATCACTGTTCAACAGTTTGTATCTTTTTCATAAATGACCAAAAACCAAAGCAAGGTGCCATGAATATCAATGATGTAAAAACATTCAGGAAAAAAGTCCTTAGGTTTAGATATGTAGGAGCTTCCTGGACAAATAAAATGAACCCTTTATGCAAGAGTTAACATAAAAATCAAAAATACCAACAACTAGTATATTTGTCATAAGTGATCCAAAACAAAGTCCAAACACTTATCAACTCTCTTCCAAATGTACAACTGATTTGCACCATAAAAAAATCCTATCTCAGAAACTGTAGGATGCAATACCCTATAAGAAATATTTTGCACAAACATCTGGTATTTTCCCAGCCACTAATCAAAAATCAAAATCAATGTACTAAACATATCTCTTATATAAATATGTACAATTTCTCTGCACAACAAACTCCTTACTTTGAAAACTGTTGATGGGATTATCCAGACATATGATATGCCAAATTAAGCAATATTTGGCATCGAAACTGATAAAGTTCAACAACCGTTCATTTCCCAAAAATGATCTATATTCAAAATCAGAGCACCATGCACATCTTTAATGAAAGTTTATAACCTCATCTGCAAAACAAACATCTTCTGATTTTGAAAACTGTTAGAGTGCTTATCCTGAAAAATGATGTAAACCTACATTATACATACAAGTGACTAAGTTCAACAACTGCTATATTCCCTATAAATGATCTGAAATCAAAACTCAACTATCTTGTACATCATTGGTGTATGTACAATCAATCTGCAAAAAAACTAGAAATATGTCCATAGGACATGAATGCCCTGCTGAGGGTATATTAGTAATGCAACTTGAAAATTTGTATTAGTGTATGAAATCTGATGAGAATATCTTGAAGTTTCTTTAAAATTGAAATCTTCTAAAAGTTGGATATAGATAACAAATTATCAACAAATTATGTATAAGTCATAAGCGTACATAAATATATTTTAAATGGTTTCTTTAAAATTAAGCAAAATGCAAATTTAAGAAAAGTGAGGTCAAGGTAAAACAAATTTGATGCAGTTGAATAGCTCTCATCAGTATGTATCAGCATACGAAGTTTGATAATACTATCCTGAATGGTTTCTTTAAAACTGAGCTAAACACTAATTTGAGAAAAGTAAGGTCAAAGTGAAAGGAAAGGTCAAGGTCAAAAAATGATGATGCAGTTGAATAGCTCTCATTACTATGTATTAGGATATGAAGTTTGAAATATCTTGAATGGTTTCTTTAAAACTGAGCTAAACACTTATTTAAGAAAAAATGATGTCAAGGTCAAAAGAAAGGTCAAGGTAAAAAAATGTGGATGCAGTTGAATAGCTCTCATCAGTATGTTTCAGCATATGAAGTTTGATAACACTATCCTGAATGGTTTCTTTAAAACTGAGCTAAACACTAATTTAAGAAAAGTGAGGTCAAGGTGGTCAAAGGAAAGGTAAAAAAAAACCAGAAATCTCTGATGAGACTGTAGCTCTACTGGTCTGTTTGTATAACAAAAGAAAAGTAGCACTTGGATTTGAAACATTGCAACATGCAACAATAAATATAATTATGTATCTTAATGTAGTCTACTTTTGTGACAAGTTATATTGAAATCAAATGAAAACTAGGAGTAGTAGCGTTTTGAAAGTATTTCACGGAAATTTCTATTTTTAGTAACCATGACAACACCATTCACCCAAATAAAAAAAAACAGAAATACATATTATGTATCGTAGTGTATTCTAACTGTGTGCCAAATTAGATTGAAATCAGACCAAAATTGTAGGAGGAGTAACGTTTTAAAGGAATTTCAAAGAAATTTCTATTTTTAGTAACCATGGCAACACCGTCCATCGAAATCAAAAACCGATGCACTAAATTATGTACCTTAGTGTAGTCTACTTGTGTGCCAAGTTATATTGAAATCGGACCAAAACTGTAGGAGGAGTAGCGTTTTAAAGGAATTTCACAGAAATTTCTATTTTTAGTAACCATGGCAACACCGTTCATCGAAATCAAAAACCGATGCAATATATTATGTATCTTAGTGTAGTCTACTTGTGTGCCAAGTTATATTGAAATCGGACCAAAACTGTAGGAGGAGTAACGTTTTAAAGGAATTTCACAGAAATTTCTATTTTTAGTAACCATGGCAACACCGTCCATCGAAATCAAAAACCGATGCACTAAATTATGTATCTTAGTGTAGTCTACTTGTGTGCCAAGTTATATTGAAATCGGACCAAAACTGTAGGAGGAGTAGCGTTTTAAAGGAATTTCACAGAAATTTCTATTTTTAGTAACCAAGGCAACACCGTCCATCGAAATCAAAAACCGATGCACTAAATTATGTATCTTAGTGTAGTCTACTTGTGTGCCAAGTTATATTGAAATCGGACCAAAACTGTAGGAGGAGTAGTGTTTTAAAGGAATTTCACAGAAATTTCTATTTTTAGTAACCATGGCAACACCGTCCATCGAAATCAAAAACCGATGCACTAAATTATGTATCTTAGTGTAGTCTACTTGTGTGCCAAGTTATATTGAAATCGGACCAAAACTGTAGGAGGAGTAGCGTTTTGAAAAATTGTTTACAGACAGACGGACAGACAGACAGACAGACAGACAGACGGACGGACGACGGACACCTTACTATCGCATAAGCTCTTCTGGTCTCTGACCAGTAGAGCTAAAAATGTTGATGCAGTTGAATATCTCCTATCAGGATATATCAGCATAAGAAGTTTGAAAACACTGTCCTGAATGGTTTCTTTAAAACTACTTCACACTAATTTAAGAAAAGTGAGGTCAAGGTCAAAGGAAAGGTCAAGGTCAAAAAATGTTGATGCAGTTGAACAGCTTTCATCAGTATGTATCAGATATAAAATACCTTCAATGGTATCTTTAAAAATAAGCTAAACACTACTTTAGGAAAAGTGAGGTCAAGGTCAAAGGAAAGGTCAAGGTCAAAAAAATGTTGATGCAGTTCCATAGCATTCATCAATATCCATCAGCATATGAAGTTTGATTAAAATATCTTAGATAATTTCTTTGAAATTGAGCTTTGAACTGACCTAAATGCAAAGCACGATGGAAGGACAAACAGAAGGACAGGAGGATGGAAGGACAGAAGATGAACATGACAAACACTAGGAGTACTCTGGAAGATAGAACATGTTCAACCTCTGCTATTTTCCCCCATCAAACATCAAAATTCAAAATCAGAGTACTCAGTAGATCCTTAATACATGTATATATATAATTTACCTGCAAAATATTAATTTCTTATTTTCAACAATTTACATGTAGCAAGATGTATCCAAACAATGTTGTACTCTCTTATATTCTGCAGCACAAAAATGACTGAAGTTCAATAACTTAACAATAACAATAACCATAATTGATCAAAGTCTAAATCCAAGTACCAAGTATCAAACTACATGCTTCCATGTCAATATAACAAATGGCTTTGTTGTACTTGAGATTTTTTTTTTTTAATTTTCCCATATATTCCTTTGTAAAAATTTGATCTCCCATTGTGGCTCCTCCCTATCCCATGGGTCATCATTTGAACAAACTTAAATCTACACTACCTGAGGATGCTTCCATATCAATATGACTAAACATAGCTTTTCTGTTCTTGAGAAGCATTTCTTTTTTCTATATGTTCTTATGTAACTTTCAATCCCCCACTGTGGCTCCACCCTCCCCCAGGGGGTCATCATTTGAACAAAATTGAATCTACACTACCTGAGGATGCTTCCATATCAAAATGCTAAACATGATTTTCTGTTCTTGAGAAGAAGATATTCTCCTATATGTTCTATGTAAAATTTTCGATCCCCCATTGTGGCCCAACCCTATCCCCGGGGGGTTATCATTTTAACAAACTTGAATTTACACTACCTGAGGATGATTCCGTATCACAATGAATAATCATAGCTTTGCAGTTCTTCTTCAGAAGATATTTTCCCATATATTTCTATGTAAGACTTTGACCCTCCATTGTGGGCCCCACCCTTCCCCCGGGGTTCATTTTTTGAACAAAATAGAATCTACACAATAAGGATGCTTCCACATAAATATGACCAATCAGGGCTTTGTTGTTCCTGACAAGATTTTTAAAATTTTTCCTATATATTTCTATGTAAAACTTTAATCCTCCATTGTGGACCCACCCCACTCCGAGGGGTCATGATGTGAACAAACTTGAATCTTCACTGCCTAAGGATGCTTCCATATAAATATGACCAATAAGGGCTTTGCTGTTCTTGAGAAAATTTTTAAAGATTTTTCCTATATATTTCTATGTAACTTTGATCCTCCATTGTGGCCCCATCCTACCCCCGGGGGTCATGATTTGAACAAATTTGAATCTACACTACCTGAGGATGCTTCCATATAAATATGACTCATTTTGGCTTTGCTGTTCTAGAGAAGAAGATTTTTAAAGATTTTTCCTATATATATATATATATATATATATATATATGAAACTTGGATCCTTCATTGTTGTGGTCCCGCCCTACCCTGGGGGTCATGATTTGAACAAACTTGAATCTTCACTACCTGAGGATGTTTCCACATGAGTTTTTTCTTTCCTGGCCCTGTGGTTCTTGAGAAGAAGATTTTTAAAAGGTGCTATTTATTTTTCACTAATTCTTAATTATCTCCCCTTGAAAGAGGGCATGGCCTTTCATTTGGACAAACTTTAACCCCCTTCACCCAAGGATGCTTTGTAGCAAGTTTGGTTGAAATTGGCCCAGTGGTTCTAGAGAAGAAGTCGAAAATGTGAAAGTTTACAGACAGAGGGAGGGATGGACAGACGGGCTACATACAAAATGTGATCAGAAAAGCTCACTTGAATTTTGAGCTCAGGTGAGCTAAAAACGATGTAAAAGCTACATTATACATACAAATGACTAAGTTCAACAACTGCTATTTTCCCTATAAATGATCTGAAATCAAAACTCAACTATCTTGTATATCATTGTATGTACAATTAACCTGCAAAAAAAGTCTTTATCCTGAATACTACAAGAGAGGAGAACTGGATAAATGATGAGAACTGTAATCAATACTTTGCATAAAATTCACCCAGTTCATCTGCTAATATACCTCTCCTAAATGATCAAAACTCAAAATTTAAGTACCAAGTTCATTTTTCAGGGATAGATAATTGATCCCCAATTGTAGGAGTACTCTGGAAGATAGAACATGTTCAACCTCTGCTATTTTCCCCCATCAAACATCAGAATTCAAAATTATTCAGTGGACCCTTAATATATGTAATGTACAATTTACCTGCAAAATGTTAATTTCTTATTTTCAATAATTTAGCAAGATGTATCCAAACAAATGTTGTACTCTCTCATATTTTGCATAAAAATGACCGAAGTTTAATAACTGCTATTTGAACCATAGATGACCAGAAATCTAAAGCCAAGTACTACACAAATACTTAATGTATGTTCTATTGAACTGCAAACCAAAAACTTCTCATTGTAAAAACTGTTGGAGAAGTTAGCCAAATAAATGAAGAACCCAGTATGCAATATTTTGCATAATAATGATGTGATAATTTTAACAACTGGTACCTTTATAGATGATCAAAAATCAAAGTCGAAGCATCATATTCATCTCTGATGAACATTTCTTTGATCTACAAAATAAAAAAAATTAAGTGCCCCGCCACAGCATGATACGCCCGTCAAATATTGTTCAATTCTCATAAACAGTTTAGAGTGCAAGAAAATCATGTCAACCTTGATGCAAGGATTTCAATGATTTTTCCATTCCTTTTAATAATTGTTTATACATCTCCTGTGGTGTAGGCTATTAATTATAACAAATATTACATTGATATAGATCCTCAACTGGTTGTGTTAGAGCTTGACAAATGTCCATCTGCACCCCCCCCCCCCCAGCTTTCAGATTTGTGAGACATGATGCTCTGAATTAGTTGATATTTTCAAAATATTAAATAACAAGATGTGTTTGTGAAACACTGATGCCCCCGTATGGCAGCTTATGGCGAAGGTTAAAGTTTCTTCAAATGCAAGTCAAAATCCAGGCCAAAAGATAAGAAAAAATGTTGATACCCTAAGAAAGATCTTGTCTCGAGGAATACACCTGTGAAATTTGAAAGACCTAGAAACAACTGTTCAAAAGTTATGGCTTAGGTTAAAGTTTTTTAGATAAAAGTCAAACGTCAAGGTCAAGGTCAAAGTGGTTAGTATCCAAAGGAAGATCTTTTCACAAGGATTACATATGTGAAGTATGAAAGCCCTAGCACCAACCATTCAAAAGTTAAGGCCAAGGTTAAAGTTTTTCAAAAGTAGGTCAAAGTCCTAGGTCAAGGTCAAAGGGTCAAAGTGGTTGGTATCCAAAGAAGGTCTTGTCACAAGGATTACATATGTGATGTATGAAAGCCCTAGCACCAACCATTCAAAAGTATAATGGCCAAGGTTAAAGTTTTTCAAAAGTAGGTCAAAGTCCTAGGTCAAGGTCAAAGGTTCAAAGTGGTTGGTATCCAAAGAAGGTCTTGTCACAAGGATTACATATGTGAAGTATGAAAGCCCTAGCATCAACCATTCAAAAGTTACGGCCCAGGTTAAAGTTTTTCAAAAGTAGGTCAAACTCCTAGGTCAAGGTCAAAGGGTCAAAGTGGTTGATATCCAAAGGAAGGTCTTGTCACAAGGAATACACATGTGAAGTTTGAAACCCTAAGCACCAACTGTTCAAAAGTTATGGCCAAGGTTAAAGTTTTTCAAAAGTAGGTCAAACTCCAAGGTCAAGGTCAAAAGGTCAAATTTGTTGGTATCCAAAGGAAGGCCTTGTCACAAAGAATACACCTGTGAAGTTTGCATAAAAATATCATATTAAACAATATCAATTTAGTCTTAACAACTTAATCTATATCAAATTCATATTAAAATAAAAGGCTGGCCATCAAATGACATATGCTATAAACTGACCAGCAGTTCTTCTGTCTAATTCCCAAAGGATACAGATAACAGCTGCTTGATCAGAGATCATCTAACAGAAATGATTGAGACAGCTAGCCTCCCTACACTGAACTCATTAATTAATCTTTAACTGTATGGATGCATGTCCACTCATTAATCCCAATGGATGAATGAATCTATACACACTATCTGAAAATGCATATTTATGTCATTCTGAAATTAAATTTGAAAACAAAGTTTTTCTTTTAAATTTGTTACAGAGATTTATAAAAAGAAACAAAAAACTTGTGTAATCTTGATGCAACATTCTTAATAAGGTTCCTGCAATTTACTCTTAGATTTGTAGGGACTATCTACCATAATTAAAAACATCTTTTTTTAAATACTTGATTTTTTTTTTAGATTTAATGTCAGACTGGTTTTAAGCTGCAATCCCGAGTATAATTAGTTTTAATTATATTATATAATAATTATATTAATTATATTATTTAAATTATAATTTGTTATACAATATCAAATAAGTTTTAATTACTTTTCACCAAATTCATTTTAAAAGTTTGGCTAGCCAACTATTTAATCCAACACAGCTGATTCTTTTTGCCCAGTTCCCAAGAGATATAGATAACACCTGCTTGATCAGAGATACTGCAACACTCTTGCATTTTTTGGGATTGTGTAATCTAATAGAAAAAAAACATTTTTTTTTAAAAATTTCACTTAAATTAAAGGTCACAGTGACCTTGAAATAGGTCGCGACACACCTTCTCCCTAAGATGCATAAATTGACCAAGTTTGATGATTCTAAGTCTTATAGTTTTCTAGTTATGAGCCGGACAGGATTTTTCCATATTTGGCCATACATGTAGCATCTTAATCAAAGGTCAGAGCGACCTACTTTCAATGTGCGACACACCTTGTACCCAAGAAGTATCATCTGACAAAATTTGATAATCCTAAGCCTAATAGTATTAAAGTTATGAGCCGGACACGATAAAAGCTAACAGACGGACGGACAGACAGATGGACGGACGGACGGACATGAACGCCATAACATAATACGTCCCGTCTAAAGACGGGCGTATAATGATATCTTTAAAACTGTTGAAGGAGTTATCTGGAAAAATCAACTTGAAGTACACTTGTTAGTAATATAAGACATTAAATGGCTAAATTAATCAACTGGTACTTTCTTATCAATGACCAAAAATCAAACTCCAAGTGCAATGTGCATCTCTATTGTATGTTTATTAGACTTGAACAATTCGAAACCTATATTCCCTTTCATGGGATTTCTTTTAGCAGAAAACTGAAGGAGGTATTATCTGCAGAAATGTTGTACCCTAAAAGTAATATTTTGCATCAAATTGACATGTTCAACAGTTTGTATCTTTTTCATAAATGACCAAATACCAAACAAAGGTGCCACGAATATCAATGATGTAAAAACATTCAGGAAAAATGTCCTTAGGTTTAGATATGTAGGAGCTATCTGGACAAATAAAATGAACCCTTTATGCAGGAGTTGACAAATCAAGAATACCAACAAGTATTTTTGTCATAAATGATCCAAAACAAAGTCCAAACACTTATCGACTCTCTTCCAAATGTACAACTAATTTGCATACCCAATAAGCAATACTTTGCACAAACATCTGGTATTTTCCCAGTCACTGATCAAAAATCAAAACCAATGTACTAAACATATCTCTTATATAAATATGTACAATTTCTCTGCACAACAAACTCCTTACTTTGAAAACTGTTGATGGGATTATCCAGACATTTGACATACCAAAACCAGCAATATTTGGTATCAAAAATGATGAAGTTCAACAACCGCTCATTTTCCAGAAATGGTCTAAATTCAAAATCAGAGCACCATGCACATCCTTAATGAAAGTTTATAACCTCATCTGCAAAACAAACAAGACCTTCTGATTTTGAAAACTGTTACAGTGGTTATCCTGAGAAACGATGTAAAGCTACATTATACATAAAAATGACTAAGTTGAACAACTGCTATTTCCCCTATAAATGACTATAAACCATGCAACAACTTTCCAACAATTGTATTTGGTTTGTGTTTTATACCAGAGGCCATGAAAATCACAATTTTGAAAGAGGCATCATTGCTAATCATAACTTAATAATACACTTAGCATGCTTACTTTGATTTCTTAATACTCAGAGGCAGATCAGAGGAACAAAGAAAATCAAAGGCCTGAAGGCCTGAGAGAAGCATCACATTGAAGACAGAAAAACTCAAAAAAAAATTCTCAGAAAAATTCAACAAACATGTTGAGGGAAAATCAGGAATAAAAATAAAAATTAAAATATCCTTTCTTTGAGGTTGAAAAATGTTGTTTGTTTTATTCTTTCATTATTATCATAGTAGAAAGATGAAATAATGAATGATAATTTAGAAAGGAATGATTATTGGATAATTCTATATAATTTAATATCTGAATTTTTTTTTAGTTTCTTTCATTTTGTGAACTTTTTAAAATATCAATACTTTGTCTTAGACTAGTTTTCTCAATCAAAAATGGCATAATACGTAAACCATAGTGCAATACATGAAATGTTCATATAAATAATACGGAACTAAAAAAAAAAAAAAACAATCGGGTGTGGTATACCGTATACTATGAAACCCATCAATGGCGGCCAATTTCCTCCGATATATTTTCGATAAAATTGGTTATAAAACCTTGGCGGTAAGGATTGAACTCAAAACTTATATGTTTATAAGGTATCAGTAATCCTATAAATTGATATCCACAGTTATTGCAATTTTTATCAGTCATTTAATCATATTCAACCAACATTTCACCAAAAACCGATCATTTCACCATTTCATGTCACCTTCGTGAAATGTTTTACCCTAAAGGTGGCGCTTGTTGCAAAATTTTTTTCAGTTGGACATCTTACTATTCGTTTCATCGAGTGAAAAAATAATATCCCTTCTATTTCTATAAAAAACAACCATCTTGTTCCAATTGCTAGTGATGTTTAATAAAACAAGAGGCCCAAGGGCCTTAACGGTCACCTGAGTATAATACAACAATTTAGAAGTTAAATACACTGATAGTTGAAGCTTTGTTGCCCTAAAGCAAGAGAAGTAGGAAGATCAACAAAATAATTAGTCTAGTATTCAGTATCAACTCATAAATTAAGTTCTAATCTGTCCCCACTTAACTCTATGCAGACTATTAACAAACTATTAGTGCTTCTGTACTTTTTATAAACCCATATTAAGACCTCTAGCATTGACCTCTCTTATGGACTTTGAAGAACTTTTAATAACTTAAAGATAAGTTATTTTTGTCTCATTTTTATTTATCTATTACTTACAGGTCTACCTGTTTATTAAAATTAAGAAAGTACTTTTTTAATTATACGATAAACATTCTTGCATAATTATCTTATTCTATTAACCTTTCAAATACATATTTACAGTGATTAATTATCAAAGGTGAATGGAAAAGGGGAATAACTTCTCTCAGTAGAATACAAATTAATAGAGCCCTGCCCAGGACCAGAATGCTTAGACCAATGGTCCAGATGTTTAAAAATCTGGTAGAAATACGCTTACTCATATCATTTAAACTTTTACTCAGTTTGCTTCCAATATGCCCAGAAGCAGAGAAGAATTTCACAGGTACAATGCATTTTCACTACAGATTCAACAAAGTCTTA